TCTGGGGGACGTAAAGAGCCAACCATCATGCATTAATAGAGGCTTTACCACGTGGTAGTAACAATCAAAACTCTCACCAATTCCCAATTCATGCATCATGCTCAAACCGTAATCAAAGAGTAAATGATCATTTCACAATTAACTTCTTTCAGTGGCCTATCTTTCACAAGTTCCAGATTCAATCAATATCAATTTAAACCCCACAAGACGGTTTTCCTTTTCAATATACAACATACACTTTGAACACAGTTGTTACTCGGAGCACAAAACATAAATCCACTCACAATACCACAAAAGCATGTACAAAGGATTGGAAAGTGGTTACCTCTCGCCTGAGTAAGGAATAACAAACCAACAACACGGCCCAGTGCACCAACAAGGCTCACAACCGGTCTACACAAGCACACAACCAACAAATATTAGCTTTCAACTAATAATGTGGCCAAAACAACACTTGGGGACACAAAATTCCTAGCTCCGACCACAACTCTACCCAACTAAAAAGGGTATAACCATCAAGGCAACATTCCAAGGTCATAAAAATCCATTAAAACCTTAATTCCTTTCCAAACATCAATTAAAACTCATAATCTCAAGGACCCACTATAGGAATTCAACACCCAAACATCCCATTTGAACAATTGAAGTCTTAACAACATTTTAAACCGATTAAACATCCAATTTAACCCTCCTTAAAATAACCCAAATCACAAAACTCAAAATCAACCTCCACATTATCATCCTCAATCACAAACCTCCCATTTCCATAAACCCTAATTTCAAAAACTCAAAGTTCTTCAAATCCAAGAAAACTGCACCGATTAAATACTTAGACTAACCCAAAGCAATCAATTAAACTCAAAACAATCGGTCAAAAACCTCAATTCCATAACAACATAGAAAACTCTAGGGTTTCACCATAAATCCTCAGAAACTCCAGGTAAGAAAGTAGATTAGAGGTTAAAATCACTTACTTGAGGTAATGGATCCTTAAAAATGCCCCTTCCAAGCCAAAAATTCAAAACCCTAGTAGAGCCTCTATCTCTTCTCTTCCTTCAGATTTTCTAATTTTCGCACATCTGACCCCTTCAGTGACTATATAGATTCGACCCTTTCGCCGCTGCGAATCCGGAACTTCGCCGCGGCAAACTAATCCTGAGAGGGATTACTCGCCTGAAAACCTGACTTCGCGCGGCGAAAGCTTCCCGAGAGGAAACTCTCACTCGCCTAGAAAACCTTCGCCGTGGCATGCCCTAACTTCGTCGCGGCGAGACCTTCCCGAGAGGGAAACCTCGCTCACCTGAACAACTTCACCATGACGTTCCTCTGATTTCACCACGGCCAAACCTTCCTGAAAGACATTCCCCCTGGAGCTCCCGGTTCACCACGGCGAACATACCCTGAGAGGGGTCTGTTCACCTATTCCTCCAACATACCTCAATTCCAACCCGAACACCAAGATCAACATTAAATCACTAATCTATCCTCAAAATCAACCAAAAAGAGGCTATTAAAACCCAATAAAACTCTAGATGTTACACTCTGTGTCTTCATTCTTCAGTGAAACCTTCCAAACTCATCTACTCTGTTTTATTTGCTCAATTATTTTATTTAGTTAAATTTTCATACATCACCCAATTCACCTCCCTCTTGGATGAAACTGCCACTAATACCTTTCTATTATGGTTAGCCCTTTATTAATGTGATTGCTTCTAAATAACCATGATAGGGTATGTTTATTAGTTTTATTTCTTTCTATCATAATTAGTTCTAGTTAGGTAAGTGGCAATATTACAAATCACTTCATCACTCAAATGCACTTGATATCATTTTTATTTGGTCCATGAACACTAGCAACAAATATAGTAAGTATATACTATTAAGCAAAACATTTCATCTGATACCTCAATCATAGCCAGTATGTGATAATATGCAGATACACCAATCCCATCGATGCATTCATAGAATTAACAATAAAATTTAACTATGCTTAAGGTTAACTTTTGTGTCTGTGTATTAGACTATCACATTAACTCAAATGGATCAGCTGCTTAATGTGGAATATGTTATATTTATATCCCATAAAACAGTTATACCTAGGCTTATTTATGATTAAGATATTATAGTTAAGTAATTAAATATAACAATAAAAGTGTTCATGTTATTGTGAAATCATAATGATTAGTTGTAGATATGAGTAACTTTAATGTTATATTAACATCATTACATGCTCAGCTAACTAGAGACTAAGTTAACTCACTAAACAATGGACGAGTTTAAAGCCTCAAGCCTACATAGATACATATTACATCTGAACATTCAAATAAGGAACATAATACCTAGAATATAGTACATAGCAACAACAAAGATAGAAAAGGTTAATCCAAAACCAAAAGGACATGAACTAAATAGAAATAGGGTCCTAAAGGATTAGTTTGCATAGAAGCACCATGAGCAAAGCTCTCTTAACGGGCATGATCTTAGTGAAAATTGGGTTCTAAAAACCCCTGGTCGTGTTAACATAGCTCTGGAGGGATAAGTTCTTTGCACACAAAATGGAAAGAAAATTAAAACATTTAACATTAATTGAACAAAGTATAACAAAGTACATGTGACAATACACACTAAGGAACATGGGGTCCCTCTAGGTATGTTGGTTATTTTTTCACCAGAGAATAGTTAACCAACATGACAATCTTATGTATTCTCTTCAGAGTGAGGTAACTCTTCCAGACCTCTTTTGCATAGCCTCCAAATAAGGCATAATGAATCCTATCTCCCCTAAAAAGGCTATTTTGGAATGTGCTAAAAATGATCGATCAATTGTCACCTAGCTCTAACCCTTAGAAGCATCCTAGTATGCTTCATATACACTCGAAAGCAGGGAATAATAAGCAATAGACCAAGAAAAAGGAATGAAAGAAGAAATATCCAACATCAAGAACTAAGAAAACATTACTCACATTCTTATCAAACACAAGCATGTCCAATGAAACCAAACACTTCAGCAATCCGCAGTCTATTTCTTATATGTCAAAGCTTGTCCTTGCAAAAACCCTATCCACCTTCATTACCACTTTCCATGTATCCACCCTAGGTATAACATCATCAAGCTTGGCATATTCGAATGCCATGGCAGGTTAGAACACGATGTAATATATTCACTCTACCTGCATTGAAAAGTTAAAAAACAAATAGATGATAAGGAATGGTTAGTATAGTAGTGTTATATAGAAGGGTGAACAGAAGAATAATGATGGTAGTGTATTTAAGAAGGATAGGTCACATTACCAGGATGTCTCCTCACAGCTTTTAAAGGAGCAATAGTTGAAAATGTTATAGAGATACTTCATACTACGAAAGTGTCTATTTGATTTGTATCTCTCTGTATTGGTACGAGGGAATACATATTCATGAAATATAAGAAGGACACACAAAGCTTGACATTTGAAGCTAAGCCTCCTTGAAGAAGCTGACATTGTAGACGTGAATAGTAGAATTGTGAGAGGAGTTAGGAAGCTGGACGGCTTGCTCATTTAGATATATATGCTATACTTATTTATTATTTTTGTTATATTGATATCCATCTAATATTTAGAAGCATAAAAAATGGGTATTTTATTTAAATTTGGGTTAAGGTACAATTTTGCCTCAAAGTTTTTACTCAGGAGTACTTGGCACCTAAAAGGTTTTTTATATATAAATTTTTCTTGAAAGTTTAAAATGGTAGCAAATTTCTATTTTAGTAGTCAATGTTAACTTTTTAATAATATGGGGCAATATTGCTACAATTTTAAATTTACTAGGCAAATTTGCAACCAAAGAAATTAGGATAACCATTGAGCTAATAAGCTTTATTAACAGTATAATGCAAAAAAAAAAAAGTTAACTCTTTTATTTTGACTACAGGTCATTTACAACATTTTACCTCAAAATAATAAGTCCTAAATGTAAAATGACTAGTTTTCAGTTGAGATTACACACATTTTTTCCTAACCTGTAACGTGTGAAATGGGATAATAATTGATTTAACAACTTCAATAAATATGGCAGATGCCAGGGCATGGACAAGTCATTGGTGAAGAATTCTTTATTTATTTATTTTTTTACAAATGGGGGCATATTTGTCTTTTTACTTGAATTCTGATATTTCAATTTGAGATTGTTTTCGTGGTTGGGATTTGTTGATAAGTACTTATTGGGAATTATACAATTTTCAAAGTCTTTAAATGTCATTTTTCCCCATACATGCATTGCCAAATTTTTTAATTTAAATGAGCAGTATTTTTTTTTTTTGGGACTAAGTACATATATCTTCTAATTAGAGATAACCCTATTTGAGACATTATGTGTCACTAAATATGGGTATTCCTCTAATTAGAAATTTGAACTTTGGCTAGCAATATACGAGCAGAATGTTAAATGTTTATAAAGTACTACCTCTAATTTTTAATATAAGATCTAATTATTAATTTGATAAAATTAAGAAAATTAGTTATAAAGGAATATATACTCTTATTAATCATATATTAGTTAAAATTACATTTGATGGGCTGTCTCTTGTGCGCCCTTGTGGTTTACGGCCATCCTTCTAAATCATAGGGCGCGAGTTTGAGCGTTGGCATCTTAAGCAAAAAAGAATTACCATTTGATAAAACATTTCATTTACGTAACTATTACAAAAACTATTTTAAAAAATAGATAAATATGAAAAAAAAAGATTAAATTATTATATTTACAAATAAAAAAAATCAAATAAGTGGCAATTAAGAACAGCACGTAGTAATAAACACGCTAACGACTGTACCGAACCTTTGAGGCTTGGGCAGGGATCCGCGTTTGCGCAGCCAATGAGAAGCGCCAAGAGCATCACTCCTCCAATGAAAAGCATCCACGTGTACAATCCACGTAACTTGCTCTTCCATTGACGTCGTCTTCCTTTAAACACTGTCGCTTTGCGGGTTGCAACTACGACCCCGTCGTTTACGCTTCTCTCTTGTCGTTGCTTCCCTCTGCTCTTTCTCCGATCCATTTTTGTCCGATTTATTCGCGCATCAATGTTCATCGTTTGTTTCCGGAAGGAGGTATTACAGTAGAATAAGGAGAAACCGTCTGATCTAGGGTGGTACCGGCGACACATTCTGGGTCCATTCATGGAGGCTCATGGTTCCGGGCTCCGCCGTGTGTTACTCTTGGCGTTCTGTGTCGCCGGGATTTGGGCTGCTTATATCTACCAAGGTTTTCTTCAGGAAACTCTGTAAGTTTATTATTTATGATTTCCGATCTCCTTTTCTGCTTTAAGAAATCTTGATTTGATTGTTTTAATTATCTGTTCGATCTCTTGGTGTAGTCTTTTCGAATTGACTTGAATTTGTTTACAGAATCACCAACAATTTCAGCCCATCCCTATTTTTCTTACAAATGCTTGAATTGCTTATTTTGATCTGAGAATGTTTTAAATGCTGGATAGTAATCAGTGAAATACTCGCCTCTCTCTACCAGCATTTTGCCGTGGTTCTGTGCAATGCCGTTGTGATAATGTTTTTCACTCTATTCAGGTCGACAAAGCGATTTGGTCCAGATGCGCAGAGGTTTGAGCACCTTGCATTTCTAAACTTGGCTCAGAATGTAGTATGTTTGATCTGGTCGTATATAAGTAAGCTTCTATGCCGGCTACAGCTAGCCCCTTTTTTTCTTTACAAGTACCATTGTGGATTTGATCTGAATATGTTTTTATTTGCTGGCTTCTGACGCAGTGATTAGGATATGGTCTGGTGGCAGTTCTGGTGGTGCTCCTTGGTGGGCTTATTGGAGTGCTGGCATTACGAATACAATTGGTCCTGCTATGGGAATTGAAGCATTGAAGTATATTAGTTATCCCGCTCAGGCATGTTCCTTTTAAAACATTTTTTATTGGCTTCTTTTGGTTCGTTTAAAATATTCTGCGTCAGTAATATATGGTTTTCACCCGAAAGAAACAATAGGTCTTCTTTAGAAGCTGTGGATGTCATTTGCATGCATTATTCAAATATGACTCTTTTGATTGCCTTAACAGTTGCGAGTTGTATGTGTAATTTCCATGGAACTGATCTGACTTAATTTTATATTTTGTTCTTTAGTATGGTGAATGTCCTCTTTAAAGGCTGATGATATTTCCACTACTTGCAGGTCCTTGCAAAATCCTCAAAAATGATTCCAGGTCAGTAGATTGCTCATAAAAAGCTTGCACTTGATAAAATATCAATGAAAAATAATTTATCTTTCGGTAATTGACTGAGTTGCCTCTCATTTAGGATAGAATTATGAACATGTAATCGGTGCTTCATCCCTAAAATGTGAATTTTCATGTTCAGCATCTGATACAATGAATCGCTTAACTTGCAGTTATGCTGATGGGTACTTTAGTGTACGGTATAAGATATTCTTTTCCAGAGTACCTTTGTTCATTCCTTGTTGCTGGAGGGGTATCCACATTCGCACTTTTAAAGGTCAGGAACTATTCTGAAGAACAGAGTGAAACATTTTAGTACATACAAAGAAAGAAAAAGAAAAGGCTATTGTGGGTTGGAATTTAACATGGTTATTGTCCAGGCAGCTTAACTTTCAGTTTTCTCATTGTTTCTTGTGTTGATTACAGACCAGCTCAAAGACAATCAACAAGCTGGCACATCCAAACGCCCCACTGGGATATGGGCTTTGCTTCCTGAACCTTGCTTTTGATGGATTCACAAATGCAACTCAAGATTCCTTAAAAGCAAGGTAAAAGAAGATACAGTTCTAGCTGTTTTCAATTGGCATCTATTAATTTCCATGCAAATGATGAAATGTACAATTCGCGATTTCCTTTCCCCTCCTAGATGCCCTCCATTCTATCATTCAATACCAAACTGCATTTTGTTAATAATTATTTCCAATTTACTTGTGATTAGTGCCTCGAAGTGTTTATGGATTTGGTGGCTTTATTTGGACTTTTTACTGATAATAGATGCCAGTAGTGTTAGTTGCATGGACATTGATATGTAATTTAGATCGAGTATCTTCACCAACAAATGGAAAAAGTTTCCGTGGAATAGAAATCAAGAGAAGAGAACCCAAAAAGAAGTTTATAGGAAAAACGATTTCTGAATGGACACTGTCTGGAACGATTTCTTTTTTCAAGTTAGGCAGTATCATTCTGTTAGATATGAACCACTATGTCTCATATTTAATATACGAACTAGTTGACTAATTTGAGTAGATTAAGAAAATTACTTAAATTAGTTATTTATAATGAATAAGTGCTGTTTTTTCTAAAATACCCTTGCTAGTCATGTGTATGAGCTAGAATTATCATCTGATGAAACTTTTAACATGTACAACTACTACAAGGACTACCTTGGAAAAAATAGATAAATATAAGAAAAAAAGTGGATTTGGATCTTATATTTGAGATCAAATTAAATTTCAAATTAATTTTTATATTAAGGACTAGAGGCAGCGCTTATAGTAGTTTTTTTTTTTTTTTTATCACATTCAGTTAGATGCACTCATAATGTAAAATTCGAATATTTTACGGATAAGGGCAACCAAAATGATTTGGATTTGATTTTTTCATGTTGTAAATTATATATCAATTATATTCTAAGCGATGGATTCTGTCTTGTTCAGGTATCCAAAAACAAGTGCCTGGGGTATTATGTTGGGCATGAATTTATGGGGGACCATATACAATACGATGTACATGTTTGGCTGGCCCGGTGGTATTGGATACGAGGCAATTCGCTTCTGCAAACATCATCCAGAGGCAGCTTGGGATATGTTTTACTTTTGCTGTTGCGGTGCAGTGGGCCAGAATTTTATCTTTTTGACTATAAGTCAATTTGGGTCTTTGGCTAACACCACCATCACGACCACTCGCAAGTTTGTTAGCATTGTGGTGTCTTCATTATTGAGTGGGAATCCCTTGTCAAGCAAGCAATGGGGATGTGTTTTTTTGGTATTCTCTGGCTTGACATACCAGATCTACCTCAAGTGGCAAAAACTGCAAAGATTGCAGAAGAAGAAGAAAGCCTTATGAAGTGAGTCCTTCATAAATATTTAATTAAATCATTAGTGCCTTTTATCTCCTATCAAGTATCAACCCTCTTGATATGGCTTTTTACCTAGAGGTTCAAAGGATGGGCCAAATTTAGACTATAGATAGGAATGTTGGTAAATGTAATTGTTTTTAGCATCAGACGTATAAAGATTGAAGATTAAGTTTTAGAGCCCATTTTGTTAGGCACTCGTGATTTTCTAGGTTCAACCTACTTGTGTACTGTTCGTCTGATCCCAAAGCTGTATACCCTGAACCTGATTTTGAGATTTCTTTGCAATTTTAAAGTTCTTATAGAGTGAGGTTCGAGATTAGTGTTAATACTGTATTACTGTTAACTTATTTTGAGATCCCATGCCTAAATCCGCTATTTAAAGCAAGAATTGTGATTGTTAACAAGATAAAGAAAACCGTCCGCAAAAAATAAAAATAGAAAAAAAATAAAGGGCACCAAGAACAAGAAAAGGAAAAATAATAAAAGAGAGAAAAGTGGAAAAAAATGGAATTTTAGAATGAGTCAACATGGGTTCGGGCCCAAAAATAAGATCTTTGTGAGCTGAGAAACACTGATGGAGTCCAAAAAGTATTGGTTGGGGGGAAGTGTATTTTTGTTTTTGACAAATTATCATTATCATTATCAATAAATATATTATAAAAAAAGTGTAAAATGTATTAACTTCCTTTTACAAATTATCAATATATTAATAATTTGTTTCCAACATATTGGTTTCGACATTTTAGAAATTGAGACAGAGTCATTCTTTTACGTTATTTAGAATTTTTGCATTTTTTTAACTACATTTAATAAGATATTAACAACTTTCATTTAGTAATATCATTCACAACTTTTATACTAGTTTTAACTATATTTCATCATATATTAACAACTCTCGTTCAGCTGGGCCATTCACAACTGCCCAAAAAATGACTACAATTTATTTGATATTAACCCCTACCCAGAAACACTCATCCCGGCACCAGCCGAAATATTCCCCTCACTGACGGGTAGTTGCTAGCAGTGGTCGATTGCCGGCTACCTAGGGTTATTGACTTATATATATTACACACACACACACACACACCCACAAAAAGGCATTCTCATCATTTCATTTAAACTTCATTATTCCATTTTAGGATTTTGCACGTTTATGAAATTATTTTAATTCAGGTACTTTTTGAGGGGTTTCATATTTTTCAGGTTCTTGTATTGTCATTTTTCCAATATGATATTCTTATTAATTTGTAAAAAATAATAAATTCTTATTAAAATAATTGATATTACAATAAGCACGACAATATTATGAAGGTAAAATGACTAAAAAAGAATCTTGAAAATAGAAAATTCTAAAAAAAAAAAAACGCAACTAACACGTGTAAATGACAAGGAGGGAAAGCTTGAAATGGAATTATGGAAATGTGGGAAAATGAACAATATACCCTTATGTAATGCTCAGAGTAATGCTCAGAAAAGCATGTTGTTATTCTTTATTTTAAACTAATTTATGTTTCAATCTTGTTATTTTCACATCAAATTTAGTCATTTTTTCAAATGGACAGATGTTTTCACCATAGTGCCAAGTGTTGAAGCTGGGAAAATGGTGTTGTTATTCTATATTCTAAACTTGTTAATTTATGTTGCAATCTTGTTATTTCTAAATTAAATCTAGTCATTTTCCCAAACTGAAACAACAGCATATTGGTCATTTTTTAACATTTCCATGATTCCAGTTCAGGTTTTTCCTCCTTCCCCATCATTTAAAAATAAACAATTGTTTATATTTTGAGAATAATTAGGGTTGATAAATTCTAAAATCAAATAACTGGTTTATATTTTAGATTTTAAAAAAATAATTAAAAAACCTTTGAACTAAATATGTGAGATTATTTTTTTTAGGAAAAAAAACAGCAGCATTATAAATACAAAATCAAGGTAACATTAGAGCTGCGAAACAAAGCTCACCGAACTCTTGGCTTGCTGGTTAGAGCATGTTGCTTCCAACTTGTAAGTCATGGGTTCAATTCTGCAAACAAAGCGAGAGCTGTGAAACAAAAGCATTCATTGTTTTTGTTTTTGTTTTCCTAAATATAGGTATGCTTTTATTAGAAATAATCCTGTTTGAGATATTGTTAGGTCCTAAACGTGAGTACATATTCTAATAGAGATTAAAACCTTAGTTCATTATGTTGTAAGGGACTAACTCTTTTTACTAGACCTAACTCTCATTAGTAAAGCATTCACGGTTGTAGAGAAGGCCTTTCACATTAGTTAAAATGAACTTTTAATAACAGTTTTAAGAGAGATATGTATGTTATTGATGTAGTGATTATGTGTTTTCATATTGTTTTTATAAACGTGGTGGTAAGTCACTTTTTATAGTGACTATTAAGTACAACCGACATGGAAAGTAGGCTTCCCATGTCACTTGTCTAATTAAAACGGCATGGAAATATCAACTTTTCATGTTGGTTGTGCTTAATAACTATCGTGAAAAGTGACTTACTACGACATTTTCCAAGCAATCAATGTAATAAGTTTAATTTTTTTAATATTGTTTTCTACTTTAATCAACAAACTCCGTGCAATGAAGCAACATAGCCAGCAACTAGACATAGATAATCCTGCTAACCAACAAACTAAGAGGAACATGCAATTTTATTCCAAAGTCAATAAACAATGTAATTTGTAAGCATAAGTTAAAGAAATTAACCTAACCTAAACCTAATCCAATAATCAAATAATTATGTAATTGTAAACAATTCTAATTTAATAAAATCCAACATATCCTAAATCTAATTCCTCATTGACTCAAGTACAGTCTATGACAAATCTTCCCTTATTTGGTTGATTAACTTAACCTTTCATTCAGCTTTAATATTCTAAATTTTGATTGATTTAATATTGACACAATTTCAATTTTTTTTTATTCTATAAGCACTCAATTCACCTTCCATCTAGGACATTTCATGTACTAATATTTAGGATCAAAGCAAGTTGCTTGGTCAAAGAAATAATCATCTCAAGAAGAGATCATTGCAGCAACAGCTTACGTAGATAGGAAGAGGAGAAGACTTTTCATCGAAAGGATGGCCTATCAATGAACCAACTTGATATATCTCCATTTTATCATATATTTCTATACATAATTTGAGAATTTTAATATCATTTTAGGTATATCTACAACAGTTATGAGTATTTTAAGTATATTCCGTAAAATCTAGGTCAATTGCATATAACTCCCCATGCATGCGGAGCAAATCCATTTCGGAATCACAGGTTCCAGAAGCAAAAGCCATCGACTTCGTTGCTGATACTCTTCTTCCATATGGTTTCATTTTTCATGATTCAAAGTCGAGCCTGCCGCAGGGAAATGCAAAGGACGAGGGTTCGTTTTACTTTTTAACGAAATAAATGACATTTTAAATTTTAACCTTATATAACAAATATATAATTATAATAAAATTATCAAATTACACAAGCACCATGTAGGATGCACGTCATCCTCATAGTTTCCGTCAGTAACTTAGTGAAAAAATTAACGGCAGGGGTGTTTAATGTCAAAAATTAAAATGTCAGGAAAATTATACCTACGTGTATTAAGGTATTTTTGTCGTTTGCGTATTTTAGAAATTGAAAAAAAATAAATAAATGGTGACTGGAGCTCAAGCAACTGCTGCAAGAACATGGTACGAAGGACATATGGCATGATTCGCTATGAAATTGAGCTTGGACTACCAAAGGCCCAAGTGGTATCGTCGGAGGATCAAACAAGGGACAATTAGAGATCAACAGAGATATCAACAAGAGGCCTAAACAATGACAGATGTACGTTTTTGACATCCATTAGGTCCAATTCTATACTCATTTAAGTCCAATTATGTACATGAGGTCCTACGCAGGATTAAAGAAGGGTAGAGTTGAGATTGCCATTTAATTAATTAAATTAAAGGAGGAAAAATAAATACTTCATTGGATTTATTTTGGTTAAGAAAAAATCCATTAACTAACTCCTTGAATCAAGGTCCAACTAATTCAAAAAATTAATTTTCTCTATTATTATTATTAGGTGTTATGAATGTTTTTTCTTTTTCCCTAGTTTTAATAGTAATATCATAAATAATTAGGGGTTAAGGCACAAATTTACACTGATCTTATCTCTCCGGTGCACCAAAAAACAGATCATGTGTAAAATTGCACCAGTAAAAAGATCAGGATATTGGGTACTCTTGAGAAATAAGATTAGGGATAAATTTACACATTTACCCAATAATTAACGAGGAGAAGTTCTGTCATTTGTCTTTTTCATCTCTTTTTCTTAATAGGTATAAGAATGAAATTCGTGGATTTTATGAGACAATTTGATGCATAAACTTTTTCATAAGATGTGTAAAAATGTGAGAAATGCCTTATAATAAAAAAATTGAAGGGAGTACTTCACTCATTCTATGCCAGTAACGCTCGGGGGAGAAGTTTATTGAGACCATAGAAAATATGCAAAATTTACGTGATCACGCACATATCATTCATCTCTCTTCGTAGTTATTACCAGTTAGAAGCTGAGGATGATATCAATTTTGAATAAGATCAGATAGTTGTGATTTGATAAGATCAAAGGATTCGGCTATTAATTAGATTGTATGGACGAATTATAATATATAGTTGTAATTAATTGTAACTCATCTATATGTGTATGTAATTCTGAGTTGTTTAGCAATAAAGTGCCATCATTTTATCACATAAAAGGAAATAAGGGGGGGGGGGGAATGAAAGAAACAGATTTTGCCAACCACTAGAAATATCCAGTTTACATTTTGCACAATCCAGGTAAAAAAAAAAAAAACACAGAAATCCAGCGGTGAAAGAAGAAAATTGAAAGAAGAAGCAATGAGATCAAGATGAGAGGAGGGAGGGGCAGTGGTGAGGAACTGAGTTCAATCGAAAAGAGAGAGAAGAAAAACTCACCTGAGAACGACGGCGCTGGAAGACAGAAAGCGAGAAGAGTGCAGCCTGAGAGTCGATTTCGTCGGCGGCGACAAGGCGAGCGCAAGAGAAGAGAGGTCGCGGGTGAAAACTAGGGAAAATAATAAAACTAAACTAAAAACTAAAAATTAGAAAACATCTAAAACTTGTTTTTTGTTTTCGGTTTTTTTTAATGCTAAATTTTTTTTTTAAAACAGTTAACAAAAAAATAATTTGTCAAACAGGATTTTTTTTAATTTTTAAAAGCAAAAAACTATTTTCAGAATAGGTAAACGAACATCTTGGGCTTCGAAGGATAATAGTACGAAGTGTGTCTGACATGAATAATTTTTCTTCTCATTTTTGGTGACACAGGTTGGACGCATGAAATAAATGAAAGTAAAAATAATAAATAGAATTATATTGATACGGACTCAAATAGTGTGGTACAGCTCAATATCTCTCACTCTCTGAAGAGAATGATTGTGAACATAGCATTCTAGCTGATCTAGCATGAAGGACCTATCAAAGAGCCTCAATTTTTTTTTTGTTAAGGTATAGGTATAGGCAATCGCATTCAAGACACTGTCGGGTACTAAATACGGGTATCTCTCCCAGCAGAGATTCGAACATTAGTTCACCACGTTGTGAGATACTAACTCCTTCCGCTAAACACAATCCCCGTTGGTAAAGAGTCTCAAATTGATGAATAAAGTGAGAGCAACAATAAAAAAGGCCATAGGTAAAACTAAGGAGTGACCAGTAATAGCAAGTAGGCCTGTATAAAATGTGATCATCATGAATCCACCTGCTAACGCTGTTACAATCGCACATTTTGCACACCAGCGATTCATACAAGTCCTCATGTTGACAAACTGCCAAAAGAAATAGGGCACCAACAACAAAAATAGAGAGAATGAATGAGAGAGAGAGTCTGTTATAATAAATACCATGAATCTTAAATCATTCTTTAATATGGGAGAGCCCTGATACTGTCCATCTTGAATTATTCCCCTCGGCAACATAAATCCTGTTGTAAATGGCGTTCGCATTCGGTGCTCAGCAGTGCTGTTGTAAATGGCGTTCGCATTCGGTGCTCAGCACACTGCTGAGCACCGAGTGCTCATCAGCAGAACGACGTCATTTACGTAAATGAAGATGACGTCATAATCTACACGATGCGGATTGGCCCATTTCACTCTCTGTTTTTCATCTTAATCCCTCTTTCTCATTCCCCTTTCTTCATTCCCCTCTCTGTCTCTCCCTCTCAAAGCATTCAACTGTTGAGCATCGGTGAATGCTACCGAATGTGAAAGTGAAGATTCATCCCTTCTCTGTGAAGACAGTGCACATCGGCTTCTTCCTAATGGATTATCATTTTTGTGATTTCGTGAGACTACAATTCGCTCTTTCATTTCTTGCATAACTTGTGTTTGCTCTGAGTGAATAATCAACTCTGATTTCTATTACTTTTCATATCTTCGTCTGAGCTTTTAGATCCTCCACTTCGCTTTCTGTTTAATATTCCTTCCAATTAATGAAAGTTGAATGCCAACAATTGGCTCTTCAGCAACTGTGACCGCTTATTTGACTTCCTCCACAGATTTGTTAAAGATGACTATGGGTATGATGGATTTGTGTGACAAGATAATTTTGAATTGATTCTCAGTTTTGGTTTGATTCTATTTCAGTTATGCAGGTTGAAACCTTAATTTTTTTTATTAAGGGAGGCTTGATAGGATTAGTTGTTGGGATTGTTGAACTGTCTACTGAAGCAAGTCGGCATCATGAGGTGAGGAGATGAATGAAACAACACTTTTTATAGATGCCAACCCTTTTTTTTGTTCTTTCATCTGATTTTGTTGTTTTGAGCTTACAGTTTGGACTCCTTCCTCGATAAAGTAACTCTAAAATCTCTTATAGTTAATAAAATGTGCTAGGAGTAGGAAAAATGATAATTTTAGCAAAGTTAACAGTGAGAAAATAACTGAGCAGAAATAATGAGTTTATATTGAAGAAGCAGCAAGCAACTTCATAAATGTAATCTGAGAGAGGAAGAGAAATGATCAAAATGATGCTAAAGAGAAGAGAGAAAATTTCCTATGTACAATTTGGCTAATCATACTAAAATCAAGATTTTGTGTTTTGTTGCCCCTTTTCCCCAATTTATGTCAAATAGACAATAGATATTAAATGGTGCAGGGGCTGAATAGTATCATCTCAATGTGCATATAACTGTTTTGCATTTATCCACTAATGTTATTAGGCATCACTTTGATTTGTTTTGGTGATTCACTTATTTTAATTTATGTGAATTATAGCCAGCAAATAACCATCATGATGGGGCTAATGAACTGATTGACTAAAGGCATATGGTTTACGAATGATTACTTACAAAAATAATAAGCCACGAACAAAGTTGCAATATGTGTTCTCATGGCTTATGCCCTTCATTTTCCTCTATATAATAGGGGAAGAATTTGACAAGAAAAGATTCCATTATAACCACTCCACCAGTAACTCCCATATCATAGCTAAAGAGAAGACGTCCCATAACAGCCACAAAGCAAGTGAGTAACACAAAAACTGTGACTTTTCCCTCATAATCTGGCACTATTTTTTTTTTTTTGGCCTTTTGCTTACTCTGTGATCAATTAGCCTTGTTTGTTATGTATATGACTTGAAACAAAGACAAAATATATAGCTTTTTCCGTATGTAATCATGGAGTTTCTTGAAAAGGTCTTTTCCTTTCCTGTCTTTATCCGTTGTCAAACTGCTTTGGTTTTCCTTTATTGTGAATTAGAATCTTTGACTATTATTAGGGAGCTATTCGATATGTTGATGCCAATTGCTTTTGCTCTTACAGGGCCTAAAGAATTTTGCAGCTCTCTTGAGTTGCCTTGGTCATTAGCGAGTGAGTTTCATTTTAATTCTTCAACTATTTGCTTTAGATAAATTATTGTGTTCTTGTGTTGTTACCTTGAGTTATTTGTTATTAACTGTTTTTGTTGTGGTGGTGGTGTATGGACATAGACTAAATTGTTTATTTGTAAATCTCAATATAAAGTATACAATCTACATTCACCTTTGACTAGCCTCCATCTAAGAGCATCCAAGCCTAAGTTTACTGAATGTTGTCCGCTTTCCTTCCAACTTGTGTAATCTAATTAGCATTTATCATCATAAGGCAATATGGTAGCATGTTAATAGCCACAGTTCATGTCTATAGTCACATCAGAAGTGAGTAATGTGCAGGCTTTCAACTATGCTCTATAAGTGAACAACTAAATGTCTATGTGAAATATAAATTACTTTTATCATTGTGTATTTAAAGGCAAATAAAAAATGTTGCAGGGGTAGATGATTGTTGTGAAGTGAAGCAATTTACTTTAAAATAGTTGTACATTGACCAAAAAATACAGCTGCAAGAATGAAAATTGTCCAATAAAGGATGGAAATTAATTTGCTATGTAATGGTTGCAGGGGTAGATGATTGTTGTGAAGTGGAGCAATGAAAGTGTCATCCTACAAAAATCATTCCATGCTCCAAGGGTGAACATAAACAGCATACAAAAAAATGTCCAAGAAGCTATGCAATGTTGGTGCATCCAACAGAAAGTAGCCAGCAAAATCTATCCTGTATGAAAAAGTAACTAGTTAGGTTTATATCATGTGATGGATGAGACAATCTTTGTATTTAGCAAGGAAATGTACTGGTGATTTAAATTGTATACAAAAATATTGAAATGAATAAAAGAATATTCTTCTTTTGACTACCTTGTGAATAATTTGCAGCAATGTCTATGACTTCAAGTGATGGGATTTCTTTTTCTTCAGCTGCCTAGATTTCCAAATGTCAATGATTATGAGTTAATGGTATGATAACTACATTTAATTATTAGTAGTAACTAATTTATTGATTCTTACCATTAATAAACTTGTAAACGACAATGGTTGGGATGTGGGTAGTGGAAAAACAGATTGAGTTGGAGATGATAGGTATGACAATGTTGAATCTTGCATTTGTGTAGGTTCTGTTAAAATTGTTGCAGCCTGAGATGGCAGAATCTCATGTGTTGGTGCATCTTTGTTTTTTGAATCTTTTCTTCTTTTCCTTGATGCTGAAGCCTCTTGAATGCCATATAGAAAAAAAATATAAAACCAGTAACAATTTTTTCTTTTGTATAAATGTAAATTAAATAAAATTAATTACCTCTTGCTCTCTTGTAAGTCGTCTTCTAATCATTAAATTTTTTTCCTCCCAACCTTTCTATCGCCGCTTTCTTTTTTTTCCTTCTCTATTTTTGAATCCCTTAGGAATATTTTTTGACCCTCCTATTGGTGCTCTACTTAGGTTAAGAACATCTTCATTATTGTTCGGAATTTTATTTTCTATCTCAATGATGCATTTGTCAACACACTTAAAACTTTCATGAATCTTAGCCTCATTTGTTGCCAAACTTACCATCTTATACATTAAGTGTCTAAATCTTCATGTGATTTCAAGTTTAGGATCTCTTTGTATCTCACTCCCCCTAACATCATACACAACACCACTCCTTGCTTCCCTGGTCCATCGCTTAATAATGTATTGCTCAGGCATAATTCTCACATCATTTGACTCATACACCTTCAATGCATGACAACACAATATCCTAGTGGTCTCAAACATTCTACAAGTGCAAGATATTTCATGTGTATCAGGTTTAAACTCAATTCTCCATTCCCCTTCTTCATCAATCATGTGGGCAATGTATATGTATAATGGTCCCTCTTCATCACGTTGAATTAACATCACAGAGAATTGGAGATCCCATTGTGCTTGGAAGATGTCAAATGCATTGGGGGTATAAGTTAGCACAAGTTGACGCAATATAGGCGCACTCTGATTGACCATCCTAGGAATTTTTTGCCTGGAATCAAACTCAAGTTTCAATTCCTTGTCTCGCTTCTCTGAAACAACTTTGTCAAAAGTGGTAAAGAATTCATTGATATTTAAATTTGGAGTTGTGCATCTTTTTACATCAGCATTCACACTTTCACTAAGCTGTGTACTTCTCATGCCTAGCTTGCAAGCATTCTTTACATAGCACCAAGCCCATTTCTCCTTGATATTATACATGGAAGTCAACCATGGATTGTTGTGGACATCATAAGAAGATATTAATTGGCTCCATGCTTCTTCAAACTTTTCTTCCTCTGAAATTTTAGACATGCATTTATAGAAGTCAGTCAAAAAATGTGACCCATCTTTCATTAAATTTCCAAGGTGTTTAATACCATTTTGCTTTAAATGCCAAGTGCATAAACAATGCTTTGTCTGTCTTTATCAAAACCAGGAGGCAATGTCATGTAGACTTCTTCTTTTAACTTACCATTGAGAAAAGCTTTTTTTTATCCAATTACTGTAGAGGCCAATCTAAGTTGGTTGCAATTGATAGTAGAAACCTTATTATATTCAGCTTGGCTACTAGAGCAAACGACTCATTAAAATCTATTCCATATGTTTGAGTGAAGCCCTTAGCAACTAATCGTGCCTTAAACTTGTTGAGTGTGCCATTAGCATTATATTTAGGGGTAAAGACCCATTTGCACCCTACTGTTTTCTTTCCTTTGGGTAAGTCAACTACTTCCCATGTTCCATTTTTCTCTAAGGCCATTATTTCTTCTATCATCGCCTTCTTCCACTCCGGATGTTCAAGTGCCTCATACACATTGTTAGGTATTCTGATTTTGTCAAGATCAGTAACAAAAGTATGATAATCATGAGATAAAGTAGCATATGATACATACTTTTGTATAGGATGCATGCTACATGAGCGAGCCTTCTTCCTCAAGGCAATGGGTAGATCTCCATGGATTCAGAACGTTTCATTGGTTCAGACTCAAGCACAGCTCTGGGCAAGTTGGGCTCTATAGGTTCTTTGTCCTTTCGCGAGTAAACTTTGTAATACTTCTTACTGGTCTTATCTCCCCCTTCCTTTGCTACTTGTGCAACATTGGGAGGAATAGGAGAACCTGACTCAAGAAGTAGAAGTGGAAGTGGAAATGGGGGTATAGGTTCAGGTACATTTTCCAAGGACTGAAATTCACTCCAACTCTCCCTATGAATTGAAGACTGAGGAAAGAAAGGTTCGTGCTCAGAAAAGGTGACATCAGGACTGACATGGAGGTGTTTGGAGACAGGATCGTAACATTTATATCCTTTTTGGCAAGAAGAATACCCTAGGAAAAGACATTTAACGGCTCGGGGGTCTAACTTAGATGGAGGATGGTGAATATGAATGAAAACAGAACAGCCAACGACACACAGCGGAAGGGGATGGTCAATATGAGCCACATGGTGAGTCTTACGAAGTTTATCTAAGGGTGACACAAAGGAAAGGACCCGATTGGGCATACGATTGATTAGATGAGTGGTGGTAAGAATAGCATCCCCCCAAAAAAGTTTAGGCACATTATATGTAAGGAGAAGGGCTCTAGCGACTTCAAGAAGATGCCTATTTTTCCTTTCGGCAATGCCATTTTGTTGTGGACTGTGAGGACAAGAGCTGTTGTGAACAATACCATTGGTTTTGAGAAAAGAGGTTAAATTTTAATTAAAATATTCTGTGTTGTTGTCAGTGTATAAAACTTGGATGGTGGCATTAAACTGGTTTTTAATCATTGCAAAAAACTCCATAAAGATAGAAGGAACATCAGATTTTTCTTTAAGTGAGTAGACCCAAGACATACGTGTATGATCATCAATAAAAGTAACAAACTACTTGGCGTGGGTGCGATTTGAAACACGAGACGGACCCCAAACATCACTGAATTATAGAGAACGGACGGGATGATTTGTAACGGGATGGTGAAAAGGGTATACGATGGTGTTTTGCAAGTTCACAAGTATCACAATGAAGAATTAAATCTTTATTAATGGTGAATCTGGAAACAAACGTTGCAAGTAGGAAAAACTAGGATGACCCATCCTTTTATGCCATAATAAAATGTCATGATCATTAGAGAAGAAACAAGACCAATCATGCGTGAACACAAAGCAACAACGATAGAGACATCAAGGTAATAGAGACCATCATGCTCCCTAGCTATGCCAATCATCTTCCCTGATGAGAGATCCTAAAAAATACAGTAAGCAAGAAAGAAGTAAGCACCACAATTTGCATATTTAGTCAATTTGCTTATAGATAAAAGGTTACAGGCTAATTGTGGAACATGTAGAACTGAATCAAGGTGAATAGTGTCAAAAATAGTAACAGCTCCTTTTCCAGCAATAGTAGAACCAGTTCCATTTGCAGTTGTGATTTTTTCATGACCAGCACAAAGGAAGTAAGTAACAAACATATGGACATCTAAGGTCATATGATCAGTGGCACCCGTGTCAACAATCCACTTGTTAGAGGGAAACAAAGTGTGTAAGGCCAGTGAAGAGATACCTGAATGAGCAACATAGGCTAAGGAAGTAGGTTGGGGTTGCTTTTGAAGCCCTTTGAGAGTAGTAACTAACTGCTGCAATTGTTCGGGAGACAAGAGAAGTGACTCAGAGTCTTGTGATACCTGATAGCCACGTGGTTTTCCTTTACGGGGCTTCCAGTTAGCAGGCTTGCCATGGAGGTCCCAGCAGTAATCCCGAGTATGTCCTAGTTTCTTACAGTGATCACACATCACCTTAGGCTTAGAAGAAGAGGAGGTTGTACCCTTACTAATAAAGGCAGAGGACTCAGGAATAGAGACAGAAGGGCTAGGCAGCATCACCTGTCGATGAGAGGCTTCGCATCAGACCTCCAAGAAGGCTTCACAGGTACTGGGTAGGGAGGAGCGACTAAGAATACGACTTCGAATATCATCAAACTCACTATTTAAACTGACAAGGAATTGGAAAACACATTCTTTCTCAATATTCTGCCTATATCGAGTAGCATCAGTAGGAGAAGACCACTCTTCCTTAGTAATCATATCGAGCTCCTGCCACAAACCAACAAGGTCTAACTAGTAATCAGTCACGGTTTAGTTTCCTTGTTGGACAGACCAAATGCACGTCTTGATATCATAAAGACGTGCTAAGTCTTCACCATCTAAATAAGAGTCATGGACAGCATCCCAGATGTCCTTGGTGGTGGGCAAATACATGAAGCTGCGTTTTAGGTACGGTGACATGGCATTAATCAGCCACGATGAGACGAGGGAGTTCTCCGTGACCCATTGTTGGAATTCAACAGAATTGGAGTCACTTGGTGCCTTTGTTGTGCCCATAATGTATCCTAACTTGCCGCGACCTCCAATAGCCAGGCGAACGACTTAGGCCCACTCCCTGTAGTTACTGCCGGTGAGCTTCTCGGATACGATGGCGATGGTGGAACCATTGAGACTAGTGGTCGAACCTGAGGAACCACTGGTTGATTGAGATTCAAATGTCGGGGAGCCACCATAAGAAGAATCCATCACAGTCGAGCTTCTTATGGGGTTCGACCCAACTTCACGGTCCTCCGACATTGATGAGGAGGGAGACAAGGTGGTCGGACTTGGTACGCAACCTCCCCCTGCCGGCTTTGATACCATATAGCACTAGTACGAGTTGGTATCTTCAATTATATTAAACAGAGCACTGTACAGAACATATGTAGAGGAGATGGGGAATCGGGGAGATTACATATGGATATAAGGAGAGATTACAGGAATAATTTGAATTAAATCTGAATCCCTATAATTTTGGTAAATATATCCTATTTGAATATTATCATATCTGAATATTATCTACAATTACTCCCTCTGGTAATCATTATAAGAGGTTATCAACTAATTCATTCAAACCAAGAAATAACAATTATGTAATTAGATGTATTCCAAAATTATAAAATTTTTCAAATATACCCTTATTTAATAACGTGATTAAAATTTTTTTTATACCAAATATGCTTTTATAAGTAGGGGTAAACTAGGAAAAAAAGTCATTAATGACCTTATTGACCTCTTATAATAAGGACCAAAGTTTTCTTCTATATCACCTTTTATAAGGGCCACAGGGAGTATAATAATTTAGTAATTAGCAGTTACCTCATTATAATAAATAGCTAATGAGCTAGTAGTGAATTATATACTAACCAAAAGTTGTCGTAAATAACCTAAGGAGGGGTATCATTCGTTTATTTTTAAGAAGTTTAAAATCTTGAAAAAGTAGTTGTTAATTGCTAAACTATTATATAGTAAATAGTTAATGAGATGCACATTAAGTAGCTAGACAAAAATTGTAAATAAGATCTAGTCAAAGCTTAATAGTTCACTTATACATTATTTTGTATTTTCTTTTAAAGTTGGATTAGTGGCTTAATGGTTATCTAGTTTTCTGCATCTAAGTGGCGGTGGGATCAAATCCCACTTTCACCACTTTGCCACAAAATATTCCTCTCGCCAGTTAGGAGCTGGCTGTTGGGGAGGAGGTTATGATTTTTTTTTTTTAAAAAAAATGAGAACATCTTTGTCTTTTTGGATAAATTGGCACCTAAATGGGATTATGGAAATTCAGCACACCAATTTGTTATTTTTCCTTAAAATAAGTGAGTGAGTTCATATATTATGTGTCTGTGTGTGTGTTTTCCTTTTTTTTTTAATTTGTGAACTCGATGTTGTTTCTTGTTACCTCAGAAATGAGATGTCGAGGCATCGTCTCAATAGCAATGTCAAGAGCAGTTTGGTTGTATTTATTGAATGCCATTGTGTCCACTCTTGGGCATTGGGGTTCCAGAAGAGGATGATAATCATAGGCTTTCTACTTAGGAGCACGAAGAGCGAGGTGGTGAAGGAGTGTGTTCCCATCATCATTTGCTTATTAGTGGTTCATCTTTCACAATCTGTTTTAGTTCAGGAAATAAATATCCTCTTAGTGTACTATAGTGGAGCATTGGAACCTTTTTCATCCACCAATTCGCAGCAATCTGTACAATATTTTATTATCTTTTCCATAACAGATGAATCTTCACGAACAACTACAAAGTGAAGAGCCATCCTTCCCTTGTTATCTCTCATGTATGCTGTGCTTCTATCTTTGCTTGCCAACAACTCTACCACATCAAAACTTGTAGCAATTGCTACCAAGTGAAGTGGCACCCAACCATTTTCATCTGCTTGTTTGGCTGCTAGTAAGTTTCTTTCCAACAGTTTTGATACTTTTTCTGTCATAGATAACATCAAATAAACACCATTAGTTTCATTTAGAAAAAACTAACCTTCTAATTTTCACACGAACACTCTTTAAATTTGAGTTATCCATTTAAAACAAACTCCGTCGATTTAGTATAGCCAGTCCCAAGTCCAGATAAAGGAGGAGAGTTGTGTTAGGCTCTCGACAGCCAACATAAAAATCTGTCAAATCTCATGAGCATGAAACAACAAAGTAATTATGCTACTGCTAGGTTGTTGCCCAAAAGTAATGCACTGTATGGCTCGAGTATAATGAGAAATGAGCTAGAGCTGCTACATCGTCGCCCAGATGTAGTGTTAAATGAGCAAGGGCTACCGTACTTTTTTGGACGGAGGCAGATAAAGAAGTTAGTTCATGAGAGTAAGATTAGATTTGGCACTTGGAATATTGGGACTTTGAATGAGAAATCTATGGAGGTAATAGGAGTTATGAGGGATAGAAGGATTAACATTTTGTGCCTCCAAGAAACTAAATGGGTTGGAGAAGTTTCCACAAAATTTGGAGAGTATAAACTTTAGCATACAAGGAAGGTGATTAGTGCAATGAATGGTGTTAGTATCATCGTGGATGGAACATGGAAAAAGAATATAGTGGAGGTTAAAAGATTTG